TGGGTGGATCCTCTTGTAGAGAATTTGCAGGACAGATTCAATTCATTTCAATCCAATCCAAAAAGCATTTATTATACACTGTCAAATACTGTACTAGGTCCTGTGGTTATAGGACAGAAACAGTACCTGACTTTAAGGAGCTCACATTCTTCTGGGTTTAGTCATCTTTGCTGTTGTTATTGTTAGTTGTTTTTGGTCATGTCTAACTCTTCATGACCCCATTTGGAGTTTTTTTGGCAAAGACACTGAAGTGGTTTGCCATTTCCTTCTCCAGCTCATTTTACAGATGAGGAAACTGAGGCAAACAGGGTTAGGTGACTTGCCCAGGACCACATAGCTAGAATCTGAGGCTGGATTTGAACTCAGGTCTTTCTGACTCCAGGCCTGGCACTCTCTCCATCATGCCTCCTAGCTGCCCTTTTAGTAGTCTACACATTAATAAATCTAAAATATATGCAAAATAAATGCAAAACAATTAGGTGGAAAAGCACTAACAATTAATTATAGGAATAAGGAGAAGGTCTTTTGAAGGCATCTAGGGCTGCAAATAAGTGTGGAGGGATAACAGTCTAGGCATGGGGGGGGATATAACAGAATGTCATGTATGAGGAATAGCAAGTAAGTCAATTTGGCTGGACTGCAAAATTTCTAAAGGGCAGTAATATGAAATCAGTCTGGGAATAAAGGCTGGAACAAGACTGCAAAGGACTTTAGATGCCAGAGCAGGACTTCCAATGCCACAGAAAAGTTTTAATTTTAACCTAGAGGCCACAGGGAGCCACCGAAGATTCCTAATAAGAGTTGCACAAGGTAGGCAGGTACAGATGAGTTGCAGTCTGCATAACTGAAGCTGGCACCTTCATCAAAGAAATCAGAAATCCACCAACATATCAAAAGTTTTCTATGTATAATAGAAGCTCACTAAGGCAGAATTTGGTATGAGGTTGTTTTCTCATGGAACCTGTGGTGGGATAGCAATAAGTGGCAATAATGATGATGATAATAGCTGACTTTTCTCTAGACTAATGACTACATTGGGCAGCTAGATGGCACAGTGGATAGAGTCATAGGCCTGGAGTCAGGAAGACTCATCTTTCTGAGTTCAAATCCAGACTCAGACACTAACTAGCTTCATAACCCTGGGCAAGTCATTTAACCCTGTTTGCCTCAGAAAAGGGCAAACCACTCCAGTATCTTTGCCAAGAAAATCCCAAATGGGGTCACGGAAGAGTAGGTCATAACTGAAATGACTGGACAACAACAAAAATGACTACACTGGTTTAAAGAACTTTTAGTACGGAAACTCCTTCCACCAATGTAGATTGACAATTTGTCTGAGCTTGGACAAGTGACTTCTCCAAGATGACACAACAAATATGTATCAAAAGCAGAGCTTGAAGCCAAGTTGTCCTGGCTTGAGGCCAGCCTTTTCCACCACACTGCCTTCCAGCTGACATTTGTATAACAGTTACACAAAGCATTTTACTTACACTCCTTAATTCAATCCTTTGAGGTAAGTACAGCAATTTTTTTTAAGTACCAGAAGGATTCTTTTCCCTGACAGTTTAGCCCTCATGACAGTCCTCAGGTATAGACTCCAAGAAGAGGCTTATTTCCACTGTTTTCCTGTATGGGATACTCCTAGTCACCAGTGACATCACCTCTAAATTAATGTAATTCTGCCACTGTGAAACAAGGTTATATGCTTAAATTTTCAGGCCCCCCTTCTCCTCCCAAATCACATTCAGGAAGTATCTTCTTACCCTTATCCTTTGTTAACTGCAAAATAAACAGATCTCTACCTACACAGTAGGCAGATATCTTTTCTAAGCCCTCAGCCCTCTCCACTTTTAAGTTGGGGACTGACTGACAGAAGCATTCTTTGTGATCTCCAGTGACAACCCACCAAAGTCTTAACCCTTAGGACACTTATCCCTGTCATCTGGTAAATCTTTCACCCAGAGACCCACCCAAATGAGAGGGATTAAATATCCCGGACCTTTCCAAATACCAGTGAAGCCTGTCTTCAAGATTGTCCACTAACAGTTAACCCTGACTCTTGCTACATGACTTTGCTTACCTCCAGTTATACTTCTCTTTGATGACATCTCTAATGCCATTTCTCCTGTGCAATTCTTCATTCATAATACCTCGAAGCCTGCTCCTGCCCACCTATGAGCCTGACCATCGCCCTCTGGGTGACCTTCACTTTTAATTCTTTGTGTCCTGTGGTCTTTTATGCCTCTTGGGCAAACAGCATTTCCAACCCTCCTCCCCATGCTGATGGTAAAAAAAAAAAAAAGAGGCCTCTTGTTTCATGAAGAAGCTGGAGGTCAGTAAAAGTATAGAGCTATTTCCTCAAAAGCAATCCAACCCACTCTCCTCCCCTAACCCAACTGTAAGCCCAGCTCACTGTCCATTCACATCTTATTAGAGATAAACATATTGGTGAACAATCTCTAAAGGTTATTCATTCAACTGTATATCATGGTTTAGACTTTTTTTATTTTTTGCTTTCTGATATAGTCCTAATTTATTAAAGTATTGCATCTACCCATTCAAGTACAGGTCTTTAGGGCCATGCATCAGACTATGAGTCCAGTGCTAATACACCCCTTTCCTGAATCTCTATAGTCCTCATTCTGAGTCTCCAAGGCGCCTCCAGTGAATCTAGGAGGAGCTAACAAATGCAATTAGTCCAAGAATGTCACATTCAGGACAACTGAATTACTAAAGGAAGCAGCCCAAGAGACTTGACTAAAGGACAGAAAAGTTTCATACACAAAATGTGACCTGCAAGATCAGCACTAGAGGACCAATCACCAGCAGAGCTAGGGAAATAGACAACCCGAATACTAAACTAGGCTGTAAGGCCCTGGTGCACCAGTTTAAGCTACCGAAGAAGATATAATAATCCTCTCTGGTGGGCATGAAACTTTGAAAAGTTTTCTGACTTCAAAAACTTTTTTTGTCTTTAACTTAGAAATATTTTTTGTCATGTTATTTGTGTAGTAAACATGTTTTGGACAGCCTTTGTGAAAAAAAAACCACTTTTTTTAAGGCTACTTTCATCTACAGTAAAAGAGAATAGGAGGTAATTTTTCTTATATATAAAAACCTTAGGCAAAATGTTACATAAACATCAGTTATTAGTTTTTATTACATTAGTATGTCAATAACTTAAATTCTTCTATCATGGGTTCCACAAGAGGCAAGTTTTATACCAAATTCTACTACATCAAAAAAAGGATACCTGTGGACAGCTAGGTGGCACAAGGGACAGAGCACCAGGCCTGGAGTCAGGAAGACTCATCTTCCTGAGTTCAAATCTGGCCTCAGAAATTTACTATCTCGGTGACCCTGGGCAAGTCATTTAACCCTATTTGCCTCAGTTCCTCATCTGTAAAATGAGCTGTAGAAGGAAATGGCAAACCACTCCACTATCTTTGCCAAGAAAACCCCAAACGGGGTCAAGAAGAGTTGTACTTGACTGAAAAACAACAACAAAAGATACTTGTAGAATCTACGGTGTGTAAAATTATTACCAGGAAATGGTGCTTGGGAAAAAAATTCCTTGTGACTATTTGTCTATATAAAGTTTATAGCTTTGTTAAGGGACTCTCGATTTAAAAAAAAAGTACTAAAAACAAGACACTCACAAAAATACACTTACCTTGCAGTAAGTACTTTACAGAAAACATGTTTGCACAACTTTTTCAGTGCAAAATATACAAATGTTTCTACTTCTTTACAAACATATAAACTTTACCCTGAAGTTATATATTCAACAGAATTTCAGTGTCCTTTTCAATCCAGGAGAACTTTCCAAGTGACCTCAAAAGTAAAGGCTCTTCCTCCACCCCCAAACCTTCTCCCGTGAGTTAAAAACAATAATCTTAGGAATTGCTGAGTAGTTCCTTAGGCCTCAGGGTAAAATGCAAAATTTCTTTCAGAGGCTTTCGTGCAATTTGATCCCCTTTTAACTGGAGATGGAGCTTTTACTGCGGCCAAACAGAAATTCATTCCCTTTTACCACCATCCTCACCACCAATAGGCAGACAGGCTTTAGACTTTGATCACAGATCATAACTATTATATCTACTAGGAGACATGGGAAGCAAGGATGCCACTCAAATATTCTCCCCCGCACACACACACACACACACACACACACAGAGGAAAGCATTAGTTCATTTCATACATATAGATGAATTTTCCCTCCATTCTGTAGAGTCAGAGACAACACACACACTCTCACTCTCTCTCCCCCTCTTCCCCCCCAACAAAGTGGCAGACTGTAGGATTGACATTCGCAGCTGCAGAACTGACCAGCGACCCTGCCACAGTCACGCTGTTTCTTGCTGCCCTTTTTTTAGCCGCCGACGTCTGACCTCAGCATTACCATCTGTATCACCGGGGTGGGGTGGGGGGGTAGTGGTAAGGTCCTACACAAAGGCCAAGTCAATTCTTTCTCTCCCCTCCCTCCTTCCCCCCTCCTCTCAGATCCGGTCCCATCCATCCACCCAAAGCAAAGTGCTCGGGGATGGACTAACCTGGAAGGTACCAAAGAGCTATTGTTTCTTCTCTAGAAGGGGAAAAAAAAATCTTTCTCTTTCTCCCTTTCCCCTAACCACAATCTCTGTGCTCCCTCCCCTTCTCTGCTCCGCCTCCTACACCTGGACACCCCCCCCTTTATCCCCAGTTCCTTTCCTCTCCCCACCCCCACACTTCTGTTCCTTTCTTCGTTTTCTTTTATTCCAGCCAAGTAAAGAGAAACCTAGCAAGGGGGGCGGGCGGAGAGAAGAAGAGAGGAGGGGAATGGGGAGGAGCAGCAGAAAATGAAGAGCGCCGGGCAGAGCGCAGCGCCCGGGAGCCGGGACTGGAGAGGGGCGCCTCGAAGCAGCCCGGGGTAACTCGCGGGGGAGGAAAGGGGCTCAAATCAAAAGTACTGGGATGAAGAAGGAAAGGCGGATGGGGGGGGAGTAGACTGAGACCCATACCTCCCTCCTCGGCTCCGCTTTCCGGGTCCGCGTCGGAGGAGTCGGGCCCGTCCACATAATCCGCTAGCCCCACCAGTTCATCCTCTTCCTCCTCTTCCTCCTCGTCTTGCTGCTGCTGCTGCTGCTGCTGCTTCCCAAGTACCTGGCTCATCGTGGTGGATCTCCCCCCGACCAGCGTGGGCTCCAGGGGGAGAGGGGAGGGAGTGCACAACTCTTCTCTGCTTGCCGCTCTGCAATCTGTTTCTGAATTGGCTCACTCGCCTCCTCTTTTCTTATCCCCTCCCGGAGGGGGAGGGGAGGAGGGAGATGATGGAGCCCTGTAGGCGAGCGTTCCTCCCACCCTCGCCACGGGCTCCGGGGTCCCGGTCCAGGACTTTTTCCACCGTGCCCAATCGTGCACCCCCTCCTCCCGCCCCGCCTGGCGAAGGAGAGTCAGCTCAAACCGAGCAGTTCCTCCCCGAGGAGAGAGAGGGAGAGAGAGACTGCGTGACCCGAGTCACCTGACACACATTGTCACACACACACACACACACACACACACACACACACACACACACACACACACTCTCTCTCTCTCTCTCTCTCTCCTCTCTCTCTCTCTCTCTCTCTCTCTCTCTCTCTCTCTCTCTCTCAGCGCAGGGACTGGGAAACCTAGCACACATAGAAAACTACTCATGCAAGCTGCCCGCACAAGTGCAGGCACACACAGGCACTGCACATACACACAGGGCCACAATCCCATGGATGCGTTGGGGACCCCACACCCCTTCAGCTCCTGCACGTGGTTGCTCCACAAACACGCGTGCTGGTCTGTTCATACCAAGACAAAAAAGCACCGCAGTGCCCCCCCCACCTCACATTGTTATCCCTCGTGCGTGCTGGTCGGGGCGGGGGGAGGGCTGGCAAATATCCGGGCACCGATGCACTGTTTGTAGACTTGTGCTGATGTACCCAGGCACTGTACAAGTTCGACCACTCCTCAGCTGGTTGTACTTAGTCTACAAGGCAGGAGAATTGCTTTAGAAGCCCAAAATTATCGCTCCAAAGAGAAATACACAAATCGTGCAGTGTCTTGATGAATTTTTAAGAGACCAGGGTTCAAATCCCACCTACTTCCCATCGTGACTGTAAGGATCGAAAGAGATGTTTATAAAGCCCTCAGCACAGTGCATGGTACATAATAGGTGCTTAATAAATGATTGTTTCTTTCCTTGCCACAGAGTAAGCTGTTAATAAAAGCTTGTTGACTTACTGACTTCTTTCATGACCTTGGGAAAGTGCTTTACCTTCTCTTGTCCTCAGTTTCCTCTTCGGTAAAATGAAATTGGGGTCAGCTAGGTGGTGTAGTGGATAGAGTGCTGAACCTGGAGTCAGAAAGACTCATCTTTCTGAGTTCAAATCTCATCTCAGACACTTACTAGCTAAGTGACCCTGTGAAAATAGCTTAGCCCTGTTCATCTAACACTGTTTGCCTCAGTTTCCTCATCTGTAAAATGAGCAGGAAAAGGAAATGGCAAACCACTCTGGTATCTTTGCCAAGAATACCTCAAATGGGGAAACAAAGAGTCAGACATGACTGAAAAAAACAGTCTGAACACAATATGCAGTTAGGTGGTCTATGAGGTCCTTTCCAGTTTTAAATCCTATAATTCAGGCTTGGCAGCAAAGTTAGGGGAGTGGGAGGTGGAAGAAGGTTAGAATAAAACACGTTTCATCCACAAGCTTTTCACTACAGGATGTAATATTTCCAGGAATACTGACCTTTTCTGGTTATTGCTAACAATCATGTGGGTGAACTTCCTTCTGTCCAGTTCAGTATAAGATAAATAGGATAGCCAATGAAATGATCCAGACCAGGCAGGTGCCAGTGTAGTCAGGCGTTGTATGTGTACACACACACACACACACACACACACACACACACACGTACACCAGAACATGAAAGTGTGAGGGTGGGAAGGTACAGAGTTGGAGGTTTGCAATTCTTAACTAAAGGGTAAATGCTGCTCATGAAGGTAGAACTATTCTTATTACTCTTTAGGCTCACATCATGAATCCATGAGTGCTTATGAGTATGTGTTGTATATACATACAAATACACACAACCATACAAACACATACATATATACATATGTATATGCATATATATACACACACACACATACATATAGATTAGTAGCTAAAATGTTGGATTTGTAGTCAGAAAGACCTGTGTTGGAATTCCAGACCCTTTGCTAGCTATGTGACTTCACACATAAGTCACTTCATCCCTCTAGGCTAGTTTCCTCATCTGTAAAATGTGGATAATAACGGCACTTATCTTAACAGAATCATTTTGATTATCCAACAAGACTGTATGTAAGACTACTTTGCAAACCTTAACAATGTTATTAGAGACCATCCAGCTTAGGAAACAATGACTTAAAGCACAGCATAGCACAGTGCCTGGCACATGGTAGGAGCTTAATAAATGTTTATTGATTGATTGAGAGGAAGGTAGGTGGGAGCAGAGAGGGACTTAAACTCAGGTCTTCTGAGACCAGGTTCTAGGGAAGTTTCCAGAGCTTTACCAAGCTTCTTGAGAGTCTAACCACAGTCACCCCTGGAGATGAAGGCTGTCCTAGAACTTTTGTTCCTGAATAGGCAGAGGTCATTCTAGGTTCTTCCTAGAAGCAGGGAAGATAACTTCATCGGAATAAAGAGCAGACTGAAATGAGACCTGCCCTTAGTCAACAAGAATCACTCAAAAATTCATCTTTCTGCTTGGGGAAAGTTTCTGAGCTAGCCCAGGCCTTGATCCCAGACTCAAATTTTTAGGGCTATGATCTTCCCCAAGTGTTTCCTCCAAAATTCAGAAGTTGCAGCTAAGACGCCCTTTAACCTCATAATGTAATGAAAAGATTATGGATCTTGGGGTCAGAAGATCTAGGTTCTAGTTCTCTGAGAATGACCGTGGTCACTGAATATCTTAGACCCTTAGTTTCCTCACATGTAAAATGGAACTAACAATATGTTTACAATTCAAGATAGTTTATGAAAAGAAATTACTTTGAAAACCTCATGACCCTATACAAATGTGACTCTAGAAGCCACAAATGGCTTCTTGGCTATCTAAGCATCAGATAATATTTTGCCTTCTGCAGGAATCCATGGCTCAGTGGAGGGGGTGGGAATGACTTTTGGTCACAGAGCCCCCTAGAAGGCACTGCTTTCTTAAATAACCTAAGAGATGTAGCTAAAACTTAATATTCCAGTAAAGTAAGTTAATGTACCCTCGGGGCACACCTGGCTGGTTAGAAGAGGCAGACAGATGTACAGATGTTTCACTTTATTTTCCTTTCAAGAATGAATCATGTTACATTATAATAGCAATAAAAAAGAAAATAATAATGTATATTTCCTTTGTTGTCATAATAACTTCAGTGTTGTCAATTTTTGAAATGAGTATGTTGAAATATATATACTGAAATATATACTGAAAAATAGACGATGAAGTCCAGTTCTAGAAATAACTGTCCTTCTTGTAGCATCTTTCAAAAAATAAGACTGTTTTTCTAAAATCATTGAGTTCATCATTAGCACAGTAGTATTCCATCACAAACATTTACCACAACTTGTTCAGCCACTCCCCAATTAATGAATCGAATAAGTTATTTTGTCTCTTATAAATATCCAAATTAATTATAAAAGACATGGAAAAAGATGCTGTCTACCTCTAGAGAAAGAACTGATAAACAGAAGTATGCGTAGAATAATTTTTACATATATATACCTGTTTGTTTCTAATGGTAGCCTTCTCCAGGGTGGGGGTGGGGAAGGGAAGAAAAAAAATTTACATGATAATTTTGTTGTATACTTGAAAGGAATAGCAAGTTGTGCATAGTAGATTTGTAGTTTCATGTATAATTGTCTTTTTTTAATTGTACTATGTTATGAAAATGCTTGTTTTATTCCATAAATTAAAAATTGAAAAAGAAAGACTAGCATTTTTTTTCTTGGAAAAGAATGGTCAAAGTAGGCAAATTGCAGGAAGTTTGTTTTCAGGCTTCTTCTCCTATCAAAACTGACTTTCAAAAAAGATCTAATATCAATCATTTACTCCACAGTGTGAATTCAGTTCATACTATGCATTAACTCCTCTAGGGCTATTTTCATTTTAATTCTCTGACTTGTGGGATAAAATGCTTTCTTACTATTAAAACAGTTTCAAGCATTAGGTAGCAGGTTAGGAGTGATATTTGGGGGTAAAAAAACTTACTGGGCTGAACAGAGTTCTCAATCTATATTAATTTTTCTGAAAATTCTTGATCTGTGGTCATGTGGGGATTTTCTTCAATATAAACTATTGTTTGGGAAAGTCAGAAGGAATATAATACATAAAATTTTACTGGAGTTTAGACCCAAATAGTTCAGACTATGCCCAAATAATTCAGTCTAGAAATATGGGTTCCAAGTTGTAATTTTAAAATCTCGATACCTATCTTGTGCAAATCATTAAAGCTCTCTGGGCACCACATTTTAACAAACATAGAAACAAAATGTTTCCAGTCCAAAGGAGGATGATCCGAATGATGAGGGGAATGAAGACCGTTCCATGTAACAGTCAACTGAAGGACCTGGGGGATATGGAGCCTGTAGAAGAGAGGAGAAATGCTCAATATCTTCAAATATGTGAAAGTTGGAGGAATTAGCCTTGGCCTCAGAGGGCAGAATTAGAAGTCAGTGTAAGAAACACCTTTCTAAAAATTAATAATTTAGTGAAATGAACAGAAGCCAAAGAAAAATTTATAAAATGACAACAATATAGTAAAGACAAACAACTTTGATAGAACTGGGAACTCTGTTCAATGTAATGGCCTACCACAATTCCAGAGGATTCCTGATGAAACATGCTACCCACCTCCTGAAAGAGAGGTAAAGGAGTCAGAGTACAGAATAAAACTTTTTTTTTTGGACGTGGCCAATGTGGAAATTTATTTTGCTTGACTATACATGTTTGTTACAAGAGTTTTCTTTTTATTTCATTCTCATTTGGGACTGGGTTTTGGGGGTGTGAAAAGGCAGATTTTTACAAATTGAAAAAATATATAATTTTTTAAAAATAAAGATTGATGTTATGCAAAAACAGAATGGACTGCCTTGGGAGTAAGGATGCCCATCAGTGGAGGTTTTTACACAGAGGCTAAGTGACCACTTGATTAGAATGTTGTAGAGGGCATTTCTAGCTTTGGGGCCAATTTGGACAGAATGACCTTGGAAGGACCTTCTGACTCTGAGATTTTGTGGTTGTGCTGGTTTGCCCAACTATAAAATAGGGATACAAATGTTTGTCACTCAGTTTGTGCAAGAGGCAACAATGGACATAATGGACATAAAGTCAGAAAGGCTGGATGAAATACTACATCTAATACATATCTGCTTTGTGACCCAAGGCAAGTTACTTAAGCTCTTGGTGCCATATGCAAGTAACACTCAGAACAGA